ATCAATGAAACATAGGGACCATTTGGATGTAAATTACTGATTTGTACATGTATTATAATCTCGATCAATAATACATGGTGACACAATTAAACGTGAATTACTCAATTGTATTATAATCTCAATCAAAAAAAAAGTTACACATTCGAACGTAAATTACTCACTGGTATTATAATCTCAATCAATAAACATAGTAACACTTTTGGACATAAATTACTCATTGGCAATATAATCTAGATCAATAAAACATACTGACCCACTTTGACGAACATTACTCACTGGCATTATTATCTCAATCAATAAAACATAGAAACACACATGGACGTAAAATACTCATGGGTAATATCATCTCAATCAATAAAACAAAGTTCCACACTTGGACGTAAATTACTAATTGGAATTATAATCCCAATCAATAAAACATAGTGACACACTCGGACGAAAATTACTCATTGGTAATATAATCTCAATCAATAAGACAAAGTGACACACTTTGACGTATATTCCTCATTGGTATTATAATCTCAATCAATTAAACAAATTGACACACTTGGACGAAAATTCCTTATTCGTAATATAATCTCAATCAATAAGACATAGTGACATACTTGGACGTAAATAATTAATTGGTAATACAATCTTAACCAATAAAACAGAGTGACACACTTGGACGTAAATTACTCATTGGTATTATGATCTCAATCAATAAAACATAGTGACATACTTGGACGTAAATTACTCATTGTCAATTAAATTCTCAATCAATAAAACATAGAGACACACTTGGACGAAAATTACTCATTGGTATTGTATTCTCAATCAATAAAACACAGAGACACACTTGGACGTAATTTACTCATTGGAATTATAATCTCAATCAATTAAACAAAGTGACACATTTGGACGAAAATTACTCATTGGTAATATAATCTCAATCAATAAGACATAGTGACACACTTGAAGGTAAATTACTAATTGGTATTATAATCTCAATCAATAAAACCAAGTGACACACTCGGACGAAAATTACTCATTGGTAATATAATCTCAATCAATAAAACATAGTGACACTCTTGGACGAAAATTACTCATTGGTGATATAATCTCAATCAATAAAACAAAGTGACACACTTGGACGTAAATAATTCGTTGGTATTATAATCTCAACCAATAAAACATAGTGACACACTTGGACGAAAATTACTCATTGGTGATATAATCTCAATCAATAAAACAAAGTGACACACTTGGACGTAAATAATTCGTTGGTATTATAATCTCAACCAATAAAACATAGTGACACACTTGAACGTAAGTTACTCATTGGTATTATAATCTCAATCAATAAAACATAGTGACACACTTGGACGAAAATTATTCATTGGTGATATAATCTCAATCAATAAAACAAAGTGTCACACTTGGACGTAAATAATTCGTTGGTAATATAATCTCAACCAATAAAACATAGTGACACACGTGGGCGTAAATAACTCATTGTTATTATAATCTCAATCAATAAAACATAGTGACACACATGGACGTAAATTACTGATTGGTATTATAATCTCAATCAGACCCACTTGGACGTAAATTACTCATTGGTATTATAATCTTAATCAAGAAAACATTGTGACACACTTGAACGAAAATTACTCATTGGTATTATAATCTCAATCAGACACACATGGACGTAAATTACTCATTGGTAGTATAATCTCAATCAAGAAAACATAGTGACACACTTGAACGAAAATTACTCATTGGTATTATAATCTCAATCAGACCCACTTGGACGTAAATTACTCATTGGTATTATAATCTTAATCAAGAAAACATAGTGACACACTTGAACGAAAATTACTCATTGGTATTATAATCTCAATCAGACCCACTTGGACGTAAATTACTCATTGGTATTCTAATCTTAATCAAGAAAACATAGTGACACACTTGAACGAAAATTACTCATTGGTATTATAATCTCAATCAGACCCACTTGGACGTAAATTACTCATTGGTATTATAATCTTAATCAAGAAAACATAGTGACACACTTGAACAAAAATTACTCATTGGTGATATAATCTCAATCAATAAAACAAAGTGACAGACTTGGACGTAAATAATTAATTGGTAATATAATCTCAACCAATAAAACAGATTGACACACTTGGACGTAAATTACTCATTGGTATTATATCTCAATCAATAAAACATAGTGACACACTTGGGCGGAAATCACTCATTGGTATTAGAATCTCAATCAATAAAACAGAGTGACGCACTTGGACGTAAATTACTCATTGTTATTATAATCACAATCAATAAAACAAAGTGACACACTTTGACGTAAATTACTCATTGGAATTGGAATCTTAATCAATTAAACAAAGTGACACACTTGGATGAAAATTATTCATTAGTATTATGATCTCAATCAATAAAACATAGTGACACACTTGGACGGAAATTACTCATTGGTATAATAATCTCAATCAATAAAACAGAGTGATGCACTTGGACGTAAATTACTCATTGGAATTACAATCTTAACCATTAACACAGAGTGACACACTTTGACGAAAATTACTCATTGGTATTATATTCTCAATCAATAAAACTTAGAGACACATTTGGACGAAAATTACTCATTGGTAATATAGTCTCAATCAATAAAACATAGCGGCACACTTGGACATAAATTACTCATTGGTATTATAATCTAAATCCAAAAAACATAGTGGCACACTTGGACATAAATTACTCATTGGTATTATAATCTAAATCAAAAAAACATAGTGGCACACTTGGACGAAAATTACTCATTGGTAATATTATCTCAATCAATAAGACATAGCGACACACTTGGAAGTAAATTATTCATTGGTACTATAATCTCATTCAATATAACATAGTGACACACTTGGACGTAGTTACTCATTGGAATTATAATCTCAATCAATTAAACATAGTGTCCCACTTGAACGTAAATTACTCATTGGTAATATAATCCCAATCAATAAAACAGAGTAACACAATTGAACGTAAATTACGCACTGGTATTATAAAACATAGTTACACACTTGAACGAACATTACTCACTGGTAATATAATCTCAATCAATAAAACATAGCGGCACACTTGGACATAAATTACTCATTGGTATTATAATCCAAATCCAAAAAACATAGTGGCACACTTTGACATAAATTACTCATTGGTATTATAATCTAAAATCAAAAAAACATAGTGACACACTTGGACATAAATTACTCATTGGTATTATAATCTAAATCAAAAAAACATAGTGGCACACTTGGACATAAATTACTCATTGGTAATATAAGCTCAATCAATAAAACCTAGAGACACACTTGGACGAAAATTACTCTTTGGTATTATAATCTCAATCATTAAAACATAATAACACACTTGGACATAAATTACTCATTGGCAATATAATCTCAATCAATACAACATAGTGACCCATTCGGACGAACATTCCTCACTGGTATTATTATCTCAATCAGTAAATCCCAATCCTGAGTTCACTCGACACTTACTTTATAACCTGAATACAACTTTACTGAAAGGTGAGGACTGTCTTGACAGTTAGGCAATTATATTCGATTTACTCATTAATTGGAGTGTAAGTATCTATTCTGAATACGGGTATTAGTAACACAATTGAAGGTAAATTACTCATTGGTATTATAATCTCAATCAATAAAACAAATTAATACATTTGAACGTAAATTACTCATTGGTATTATAATATCAATCAATAAAGCATAGTAACACAATTGAACGTAAATTATTCACTTGTAATATAATCTCAATCAATAAAACATAGTGACACTCTTGGACGAAAATTACTCATTGGTATTATAATCTCAATCAATTAAACAGAGTGACACACGTAGACGAAAATTACTCATTGGTAATGTAATCTCAATCAATAAGACATAGTGACCCACTTGAACGTAAACTACTCATTGGTATTATAATCTCAATCAATAAAACATAGTTAAACACTTGGACAAACATTACTCACTGGTAATATAATCTCAATCAATAAAACATAGTGACACACTTGGACTCATGTCAATACCTGCCATATTAACTAAAGATTATGCATGTATGTGTATGTTGGTATAAACTGGAACCTACATGCCACTACTGTCTTTCTAATAGTCCCCACAACAATTTTGTGTACTTGCATAGTATTACATCCATTTTAAGGATATCTTAAAATTTATATTATAAAAAGACATTATCTTTATAACAAATTAAAATCTATGTATAAGATTAGAGATTTAAAATCTGATAGCAATAACAGGTAAAAGGTAGGTGCTGATGATATTTTAAGCTTAGCTAACTATAATAATTAACAGATGTATACATATATAATAAAATGAAACCTGTGTTCCAGTCTGTTGATTTTTATGTACTTCTGTTAGGCAAATCGACAGCCTGGGGAAATACAATTTTCGATTGAAGCGCCACCTTGTATTCACCCCGAAAATTACGGGTGTTATTTAAAGAACGATAACTCATGCAACGACAAACTAGTTTCTAAGTGACCCGAAGCTCAACGAACAGTTACGGAGACTTGCTTTCAAAACACCATTTCAGATTAAAGAAACAAAGTCTATTGCATGATGAGTTAATTTGATCAACGGGTGTGATAAGTTAAAGTGGATAAAGTTTGTGAGCATCAGAGTATTGTGCTAGCGGCAAATTAATAATAGTAAATGCCAATATTCATCATCTTCGCCTCGATTCCGATTTTGTCATGTAATTTGTTGGTCAAGTGCTAATCGGTCTATTAATAGGATTATTATAAGTCAATAAATATGTATATGGGAAACCCCGCAGGTTTCCCCATGCGTTGATAGATGTTGTGTTATCTATGACGATCGAGTATGAAATAGCGCGTAAGTTATGAATAAACAAAAAAATATCAACGCCTGAATCCCAGGCTTAATAAAATGTATTACCTTAACAAGAATTTATTTAATCCATGTCCTATATTGTGAAGAAATGTAGCATAGGTAAAATTCTCCCAAATGTTGGTATGAAATCTAAAGTATAGATTTTAAACCACACCATTGCGTTTACAATAAGATCATCACAAACCTTAATGAATGTATTTTATCATTATGTTTAATCCATTTGCATTACTGTTACATAGTTTTGATCCTAAACAACAATATCGTAGTCCTATAAGCTGTGTGATGCTAGCCATTGAAAGTCAGGCACGTAAAGACTTGTTTTATATAAGGAATGTATTAAAACACATTTTTGTTTTGCTTCGCTTAACTTACTACTTTTCGGAGTCAGTACGATGTAATTTATTCGAGCGTTATTTTTTAATGAATTTTATTATAAATAAAACAGAATTTACCATAACGTATTAAAAGTCATAATTGAGTTAAATTTCCTGCGGTCTTCGAAATCATGCGTATCAAACTGGTGTTTAATAGCCCGACGAAATTAATTATATCTTGCTGACAAATCTTCAATAAATATATTTAGATTTAGTAAGCCCAGCTATCAATTCGACAAACTACTTGTTGGTGAATATGGTGTACTAACGTTAAATATCGCAATATCACACTTGAAGAAAATTCGGAAGACTGTCGCTGCGTAATGCAATGAGCGCTAAATGTCGCAATCGCCATGACGATAAATGTCGCTTTTAGCGTTTATTGTTGATCACAAAATAAAGTCGGTTAAATGTCACAACGTGACCAATAATTGCCCCCAGTATAGTATACGGTATAGCAGCCACAAACAATATGGTGCACTTTCATTATCATAACCATACAGGCCTATCTCTGCCATCGGCTAAAAATATCAATACAGGGCGCACTCTGCCATCGGCTAAAAATATCAATACAGGGCTCACTCTGCCATCAGCTAAAATGATCAATACAGGGCTCACTCTGCCATCAGCTAAAAATATCAATACAGGACTCACTCTGCCATCAGCTAAAATGATCAATACAGGGCTCACTCTGCCATCAGCTAAAAATATCAATACAGGGCTCACTCTGTCATCAGCTAAAATTATCAATACAGGGCTCACTCTGTCATCAGCTAAAATTATCAATACAGGGCTCACTCTGCCATCAGCTAAAATGATCAATACAGGGCTCACTCTGCCATCAGCTAAAATATCAATACAGGGCTCATTCTGTCATCAGCTAAAATTATCAATACATGGCTCACTCTGTCATCAGCTAAAATGATCAATACAGGGCTCACTCTGCCATCAGCTAAAAGGATCAATTATACAGGGCTCACTCTGACATCATCTTAATTTTTAATACAGGGCTTACTCTGTCGTGAGTTAAAATGATCAATACAGGGCTCACTTGCTATCATCTAAATGTTTAAAACTGGGTTCAATCTGCCGAAAGCTTAAATGATCAATACAGGGGTCACTCTGCCATTATCTAGATGTTTAATACAGGGCTTACTCTGCCGTCAGCAAAAATGTTCCATACAGTACTCACCCTGTTATCAGACAAAATGGTCCATACAGGACTCACTATGTTATCAGCTAAAATGTTGGTAATTTGGCTGTAACATTTTTTTAGTTTGGTCAAAACATCTTTGCCGATCTGTTGCCATTTTAGTGATACGGTGTAAAATATCACACATACGAAGCAAATTTGACTATACAAATATTCTAGCAGTGGAGGCATACTTATATCGTCCTAGTCTGTCATTTTTATATCGGCATCATGGCCATTATCATTATCGCCATTATTATATGATTATCTTTATTATAATCAAAAATCATCATCACTTACAACCATCATCATAAGACTTAGCAGCAGCGGCACATCGTCATCGCATCGCCATCACCACCAATATGTACTGTTAGGCTATTGTTTTTGATATTTCATGTTTTTGGTGAGCTTATGTTTGAGGTGAAAAAGGATATTTGTTTGTATATATTTCGAGTGAAAAACGGAAATAAAGATATTTTCGTAAGTGCGAATCGCGAGAACGAGTAAATGTGTGGAATTCATAATACTTTGAGTTGGTATATATTCCATTTATATAAATACGAAAAACAAGAACGTTTTCTTTATTTCATGAAAACAACAACAGCTTTGTGAAAAATAACGAAAAATAATATTATTGTTCGAGCTTTGCAAAACAAACAACAAAGTCTAGTGGCTTGTGTTCTTATTCGGAAAAACTATACTCAACGCAATACATGTATTTTGATTTTGATTTTTAAGATTGTGTTTTATGCTCACCGAGAATTATGTTCAATTATAATGTTTTGGTCATGTCGACAAATCAATCAATTCCGTGTTAATTACGAAAATGAAACAAGCATGTCAGAGTTTCCCTTTAAGGAAGAAAATATATCAATTTTCCTTCAGTCGACATTGGGGATTTACAATGTATCACTCACTGCCAAACCAGCATGATTCCATACATCCTTCTTATAGAACTCAGTTTTTCAATAGTTTGAATGACAAAAAAAAATAATAGATAAATACAGAATCCATAAAGAAAGCCCAACACGCAAGAATTGAAAATGTTGCAGGCTCGGTTTGATTGAGCCTGTTCATGGACGGTACTGGAAAGTGCAAGTTACCGTCCAAGCCCCCCTAGCACCGGCTTAAGCAGAATTCAACATTTAACACGAAACTGGTGAAATTTTGAATTTAGAAATATCCGCAGATGTGTTCATACAAAACATAATTTCTACTTCGATTAAAGTCATTTACAATGCTAGAGTTACTCTGCTTGTACATATCAAGATGTAAGATTATAATATTCTTAAATTTGCTCAATAATATATATTAAACTCATTTAGAAATTTTGCTCTTAAAACGTATTTATGAATCTGATATTGAATATAGCTAGATATAATAAACCTGTTTTAATTATTGAAACTGGTGAAAGATATTTTGAAAAACAAATTTAGATTTTGTAAAAGATACGATACATTCGCTTAAAATATGCGTATATATGCTGACGTCATTTTTCTAGGTCGTTGAACACCCTTTAAATGTTTTTTTTATTATTATTTGCCCATCCATGTAAAGAAATACTATGCTAAACCTAACTTTGATCATATCTATTTCACGATGAAATATGCTACTTAAAATAAAGTTTTTTGCATCTTAATTTGAATTTAATGAAATTTAGGGAAAGAAATATGAATATACACCTCTTTAGCAATGCATCACAAGAGTTGTTCGTAAAATATATAATTGACAATGTATTTTAGAACAACTCAATGATGGAATGCTGGCGTTAAACTTATAAAACAGTTTAAGATCAGTATAAAACAAGCATGTATATATTTTATGAAATGTAGTTTCATATTCGTGACAAAATATGCAACAGCTCACCCGATGAAAATTATTTATTTTTTTAAATAGCATAACAATTCTATGTTGTTCACCATAATAATTAACAATCATGATAAACATTTCCACAGGAAGATCCATTTTTTTTCTATTTTCTACGTATTCTCTTTGTTGTTTTTTTATAAAAATAATTTAATATACCTGAAAAATGAGATTGTTGTTTACAATGAGGAAGTTACCTTCACCTGTATCTCTAGCTGTGTAGATAGTTTATGTAAAGCTGAAATAGATACTATATAGTATCCTGTTGAATCAACACCATATAAAGGTGAAGTCATTTATGTAAACATCCTTCCGACTTCCCTTCGTGGCGTGCACGTCGCTCGGAAGGATTAGGTCACACCAGATGGGTGACCTAGTTAGGTCACTTAGCTGGTGTGACCTAACCAACGACGAAGGGTGTGGCCCTAAAGAGAGCTGTTGCTCCAGGAAGAGGTGCCTTTCCTCTATTGTCATTTGTTCATCGAGCGAAGAATTTGGTCCTAGAGAAGGTCTACGACGATTGACAGCTTGAAAAGACCTCCGTCGCGGCTCTACGACATCGACGACGTTGCAGGCGAATAAGTCCTCCGTTGCAGGCTCTACGTTACCAGCAATCGTAATAGAGGCCGACTAGTCTGGGACATATGGGAAACCGGCGCCCAGTATAAAAAAAAAACTAAAAATAACATAAAAAAATAAACATCTGTCAATAAACTCGTTGAAAACAACATGATTTCAGGGTCTTCGACCATAAGCCGCATTGTCCGAGATCAAATGTTACTGAGAACATTCACCTTTGCGTTCAAGCTAGCAACTCATTGTTTCTGATAATTGTAATATGTCAAATATACATGTCTATTATGTTATCATGAATCAGTATCATTTCTGCATACATCTATATAAAACTTAAATGTTTGTTTTCTTCTCGATATTCATATTCATGATAAATTAGCTATTTACTTAAAATAGACATTGAATTGTGTATAAAACTTGCTATGGAAACAGATTACCGGCTTCTTGTATAGACGATTTACCCCCATTCTTCTTATTGACTTGTATATAACACAATTTTAGATACCTTCCTTATATATCTGCCATTAAAATGTCAGTATATTATGTTACAGCACAAAGTTACTTACATTTAACGTAACGTCTGCAAGAAAATTTGTAAGTTTTCACAAAAGGTTGGTATAGTTCGATTTTTACGATATCGCAGAACTGTTGATTGCGCCTTTTGATATTGTTATTATATTTGATTATATATGGCAAATATGTTTTTAAAATCCGGTTTCAAGGCGACCGACTTTCCACATTATACGTTCTGATCATGCATGTAAAGAGTGGTACGTTTAGTATTACGTAAATTTGTCGCAATTCTATTTATGTTTGATTTTATTTACCTGTTCAATTGCTTACTGATTATACGGTCTGTGCACACAAATATATATAATATGCGATAAATGTACGTTACATTTCAAGATATAATTAAATCAAAGGGCTGCAAGCTCTGTGGCATTTTCTGATCTTTGCAATCTAAATTGTACTGTGTATCTGTATGTATTTTCCTGTATATGTTTATGTACTATAATTCATCTTGAAAAGGAACCAGAGTTTTGATAACATACGGAATTTTGCATAACTAGAGTTGCATCAAAAAATCATTTATGTTCGTTTTTCATGACAGCCACACTTTATCTTTGCATATCGTGACTACTTCCTTAACAAAGACACTTAATACAAAAATAAAAAAAACCTTGCCCCGACAGGGATTTGAGCCCAAGACCTCTCATACATTAAACAAGCTCGTTACCACTGCACCACGGATTAATTTCGATTTATTTTGTTTACGATAAACCTGTTGTTTAAAATTGATGTAAATAAGTAAGCAAAAATCTTTTCACCAAAACAGTCCGACATGTGGAATCTAATATATTCCACTATTCGACAGTCAGATTTATTTGTGTAGTATTCGGTAATCGACATCACTAAAATAGCATTTTCATTGGTTAAAATCATATTAATCCGCGTAAGTTGTGATTGTGCATTTATTGACAATTC